CACCCACATTAAACGAACTACTGTTTGCTGATGACCAGTGCTTGTTCTACCCTGAAGAACATAGAATGCAAGACCACATTAACAGGTTAAACTCAGCATGTAGTAAATACAACATGAAGATCAATGTAAACAAAACTGAAACAATGCAAGTTAGTAGACATTCTGCCCCACTACACATACAACTGAATGGTTCTGCTCTGAATCAAGTTAGGGAGTTTAAATATCTAGGAAGTATGATCACAGAAGATGGTAGAATTGACAGAGAAATAGAAAAGAGATGTCAGAAAGCAAGTGCACTTACATACAAATTGTCACCATTATAAAGACATCCAAGCATAACTATGAGTGCAAAGAGACAGAATATTAATAGCATATTCATTCCAACATTAAGCTACCAGTGCCAAACATGGACACTATCTAAAGCCCATGTACGCAAAATTACCACCTGCGAGATGAGGTGCCTGAGAAAAGCAGCCAACCTAACCATGCGAGATCGAGTGAATAATGAAACTATCAGGCAAATTGTGGGAACGACACCTTGTACTAGATTCATCGAGAAACAGCAGATCAAGTGGTTTGGCCATCTCTTTAGAATGCAGCAAGATCAAATACCATCACAAGCTCTACACCTCAAAAGATCAGCTACATGAGCAAGAGGACGGCCGCGGAAAACATGGATCGACCACACTAAAGACAATCTACGCCTTCACGGCATGACAATATCCAGTGGCAACCAACGTGCACTGGATCGCAAATTATTCCTCCCCATGGCGCTTAACGACAGAAATGGTTTATGATGATTATGATGATACAGAGACAATCACTTCATATGTGTACGAACTATACAGAGACAATCACTTCATATGTGCATGAACTATATAGAGACAATGGCTTTACATTTGTATGAACGATCATTTATGACAATCCCTTTACACTTGTATGAAGTATGGTGACAATCACTTTATACTTGAATGAACTATATAGTGACAATCGCTTAAAAGTTATATAAACTATAACGACATTTTACGGCAGTTAATAAAAATTCAACACTGAATTTTCAGCGAAAAGTTACCACGATAAACATAAGGTAATCCCCTGCCAAGGTGAATGCAAATTTTCCCCTGACAACCCTGACAGTTCCCCGCCCACCTGAGGTTGCCGACGCCGCAATGACCAGTTTTATAAACGGTTGCCTGGCGTGCAGACTTCAGTCAGACCAATTTTTGTGCAAGACAACCGACAGCGTCAATCGTGAGTATTACCTGACATTACGATTTTCTTTGTGGGTTTTGTGTAGTATAAACTTAACGAGCTAATATAGCAATAAATCACAATGTGAGCCACTGAGTATGTGGAATAATAATAGAATTACATTGAACAGTATTGATCAACACTCACAGACAACATAGGACGGGAGAAGGAATCAAATTACATATAAGACAGAAGGTATTTTGCCAGCTTCGTGCACAGAGCCCCTTTGATCCTATTTGGTCACAACGATAACAAAACTTTCGCTGAAATTTAAATAGAAACACATGTTTGAAACTTCGATTAGTTAGCCACTATCAAAAAGAGGTTATCATTGTTCGATAGTAGATAAGGCTACAGAATCATAACATTTGATTTAGCGTAACTTTGTTTAACAGTCATCCATTTGCGCTTCGGGGATCAGGGTACACTTGGATATATCATCCCATAGCTGTTAAGGTTAGTTGTTGCGTATCCTTTACGGGACGTTGCAGAACCAACCCCAACAGCCCATGGCTGCTGTGTGGTTTTTCTAGGCAAATTTACGTTCAGTAGTTTGCCATTGCTTGCTGGATGGTCGGCTTTCTTGATACCACTGTCGAAACCAACGCAAGGCCCATGGTCCGCAGCTGGGATCGAACCTGGCATCCCGGCATTAAGAAGCGTTCTCATCGACTTAGCCACAGAGCCGTCCCATAGCTGTTAAGGGTGTATGAATTACAACTTGTTAGGATATTGAATGGGATATGTTTAAATTTCTCTGTTGGACTGCCTTCCGACTGTTTGGGCTTTGCCCAGCTGATCAATGCTGTATCAAATATCAAATAGACTGACAGCTCAGGTCCAAAGCCTCGATGTTTCTTTAGTTTGAGATCACACAACAGTCGTAAATGGCATCCGTGTGTTTTAGTAGGACAAAAGTTTATTCACACAATTGTCGTGGATGACATACTTGTATTTTAGTAGGGCATAAGTTTATTCACAAAACTGTAGTAAATGGCATCCGTGTGTATGCGTGTGTGTGTGTGTGTGTGTGTGTGTGTGTGTGTGTGTGTGTGTGTGTGTGTGTTTTTAGTGGGACAGAAGTTTATTCACACAATTGTCGTGGATGACATACTTGTATTTTAGTAGGGCATAAGTTTATTCACAAAACTGTAGTAAATGGCATCCGTGTGTATGCGTGTGTGTGTGTGTGTGTGTGTGTGTGTGTGTGTGTGTGTGTGTGTGTGTGTGTTTTTAGTGGGACAGAAGTTTATTCAGCCAACTGTCTACTTTTTTCTTGTAGGTGGCTGTGTTGAGGCACTAGTTCTACAAAATATTTAACTTCTGCATTGTTTAGTCTGCCGCCTTTTGTCTCACAACTTTTGAGCAGTTTCCATTTCAATTACAGAGCAATTGTATTCAAAGTGTATGACATTTTTCAATTTATTTTGACTACAAGTTGTCGTTGTGATGGCGATATATGGTTGTGGATAATTATTTACAGATGTTCTAGAACGATTCTGATCTTCATCGTGCCTTTAGAGACCATGAACTCCTCAAATTTATGTTGACTATATTCGAGAAAGGTCTTATCATCTGCATATCTGGTCTGTAGGATCATGAGTACACCTGAATGTAAACAGGTTTTGTCATTAATGCTATTTATCATCACATAATCTGCACGACCTTTGGACGGGGGAAAAAAGAGACTGAAACCTTGTCCCATGTACTGCAGTGTAAATTAACTGAGTCAGTTTTTCTTGATGTCATCGTGGCACGCTAGCACTGGTATCAACAGAAACAGCGAATACACCACAAATATAAATATTCATGAAAACCTATAGGGGAGTCTGAGTGCTTTCTTGTTTGTCCAGAAGACGTTGCAGTATGTTATCAATACCTAATACTTATATGAATTATCCAGCTTTGACAATCCTGCATAATTATTGTACACAGTTGATCTATGATAGGATGGAAACTATTGCAAAATGAAATAAAACAAGTCCTTTCCAGGACTATATCCTCTAGGGTGAACACTGAAAGAATTTAAATCCCAGAAAGCTCATTTATCCGTCTAACTCAGTTATAGTGAGTACTAGGTAATCACGAGGTAAACTGTGGGGATGTGTGGCTAGTGGGTGGCTATGTGGTTGGTCGGTGGTTGTGTGGCTGGTGGGTGGCTGTGTGGTTGGTGGGTGGCTGTGTGGCTGGTGGGTGGCTATGTGGTTGGTGAGTGGCTTGTGTCTGGTGAGTTGCTATGTGGCTGGTGGGTTGCTGTGTGTCTGGTGGGTGACTGTGTTGCTGGTGGGTGGCTGTGTGGTTGGTCGGTGGTTGTGTGGCTGGTGGGTGGCTGTGTGGTTGGTCGGTGGCTGGTCGGTAGAGACACACTGAAACAAGACTTTTAGAAACCTCATTCGGCCACTACAACTAGAGTTGTATAGATTCCCTAGACGCTAAGAAAATATAGACACATCTAAAGTTGTATAGGATTCCCTAGACGCTAAGAAAATATAGACACATCTAAACAAGACTGGAAAAAAGACACTCCCATTTAAAAAGTGGTCGCGGCCGTGGTGTAGCAGCTAGACCCTCGATGGTAAGGACATGTGTTCCAGTCCTGGCGGAGCGGCACTTTTTCAAAGGACCTTGCCTGGCAGGTTGACCCCGCCTCAACATGGCAACCGGGTACAGCCCTGGGAAGTATAGGGACCGGCCTGATGCTGACCACATCACTCATCGAGTAGCGCCCACTGGCATATCAAATATAGGTCTAGCCCTATATGCCTAATACGCCTAGAGGCGTGGAAAATAGTCCTTTACTTTACTGTCAAGTCAGAAGTCAAGTATTTCTACCTCACAGGCTAGAAATATAAGGTGAGATGAAAGATGATTGTGACTGATGTAACTCTGATGAAACCCTGCATGTGTCTCCACCAGGTTGTATACAGCAAACATGAGACTGCTCCTACTGTGCTCGCTGGTGTGTCTTGTCGCCATGGTTACAGCACAAGGTAATATTCATACCTCTTTTGGAGTCATGTCGACGTCTGCCTGTCTATTTCGTTTTGTCTATGCTTGGAATTTTTAAATTTTTGTGTGGACGTTATTTTGTATAGAGAAGCCCAGTGTTTTGGACAATAAAGGAGAAGACAGTCCGGCTGACATTGTCATCAGTAATAGAAAGTCAACCAATGGATGCTCCCACCATAAGAGTTTCCGTAGAGAGACGGAGAGAGAAAGACAGAGAGAGAGAGAGGAGAGAGAGAGAGAGAGAGAGAGAGAGAGAGAGAGGGAGAGAGAAAGAGAGAGAGAGAGAGAGAGAGAGAGAGAGAGAGAGAGTGAGAGAGAGAAGAGTTAACCAAAAAGAGAACTTTCGGAGAACGAACCATTACTGTACAATGTCTTGGTGGTGGCGCACTGCTAATATGGAACTCACAGAACCAAGTAGTGTAGCCGACTTGCTGCAAACTGGACATCAGAAGCATCAAGCCACGGAGAGATCAGGACCAAGTAGTGTAGCCGACTTGCTGCAAACTGGACATCAGAAGCATCAAGTCACGGAGAGATCAGAACCAAGTAGTGTAGCCGACTTGCTGCAAACTGGACATCAGAAGCATCAAGTGGAGCTGATCTCTCCGTGGCTTGATCCTGTGTCTATTATTTGTTCTGAAATGTTTGTTTACACCCGTCTCGTCTGACAGCAGTACAACAGGCACGGTTGATAGTGAGCGCAGGAAATAGGCAGGTCGTGTGCCGATCAACGTTCTTACCTAACTGCAGACCAGTTGCCCCAGAGCTGTTCCATTGAATACATAGTGCTGCACATTGAAGACATAGTGCTGCACAAAGAAGACATAGTGCTGCACAAAGAAGACATAGTGCTGTGCAATAAACCCATAGTGCTGCAGAAAGAAGACATAGTGCTGCACATTGAACACACATTGCTGCACATTGAATACATAGTGCTGCACAAAGAAGACATAGTGCTGCACAAAGAAGACATAGTGCTGCACAAAGAAGACATAGTGCTGCACAAAGAAGACATAGTGCTGCACAAAGAAGACATAGTGCTGCACAAAGAAGACATAGTGCTGTGCATTAAACACATAGTGCTGCAGAAAGAAGACATAGAGCTGCACATTGAACACACAGTGCTGCACAAAGAACACATAGTGCTGCACAAAGAAGACATAGTGCTGCACAAAGAATACATAGTGCTGTGCATTGAGCACATAGAGCTGCAAAAAGAACACATAGTGCTGTGCATTGAACACATAGTGCTGCAGAAAGAAGACATAGAGCTGCACATTGAACACACAGTGCTGCAAAAAGAACACATAGTGCTGTGCATTGAACACACAGTGCTGCAAAAAGAACACATAGTGCTGTGCATTGAACACACAGTGCTGCAGAAAGAAGACATAGTGCTGTGCATTGAGCACATAGAGCTGCAAAAAGAACACATAGTGCTGTGCATTGAACACACAGTGCTGCAAAAAGAACACATAGTGCTGTGCATTGAACACACAGTGCTGCAGAAAGAAGACATAGTGCTGTGCATTGAGCACATAGAGCTGCAAAAAGAACACATAGTGCTGTGCATTGAACACACAGTGCTGCACAAAGAAGACATAGTGCTACACAAAGGACTTAACTTAGTAGCTGGGGGACAAGACCACACACACAGAGACATGATGATTGAATAAGAAACATTCAAAGATCGAACGAATATACAAATTACAAAACACTAACACTCATCTTCTCCTCAGTAATTACATTTCAAGGGGGGGGGGGGAGAGAGAGAGAGAGAGAGAGAGAGAGAGAGAGAGAGAGAGGGAGAGAGAGAGAATTAAAAGAGAATGGAGTAACAGAGTGAGAGACAAAGAGCATAAATTGGAAAGCTAGAACAAGAAGAATCAGATACATAAACAAACATATACACGCAAGACATACTTTAAAGTAGCAAAAACGCAACAACAACAAGCGCATGGCAGAAAGGACACACAGTCAAAGACTGGGGTGACTGCGGTACACTCGAATCCAAGAGGCAACCAAACAAACTCAATCTTCGGCTAGGAAGTCAAGCAGTGGAAAAGGTAAAGAGGTTCTGACTGAACAAGGGGCAACATTTATGAACGAAGTGACCCACTAAGCAGAGTGGAGTTGATATGCAGGTGCAAACCGGACTGTACGGTGACCGGGTGACGAATTCCTTGTGGTCCAGGTTCACGCCCGGGGTAGGCAAAAAAGCCACATTTCCCCCAGATTTACGGTATTTATCATGGAATCAAGGTCAAAGGGTTGCGATATCCACAATACCGAGCCTAATGGTTAACAACTCATGGCTTCTGGATACTTAAAAAAAAAAAAAAAAAAGATATGCAGGTAAGCGTCTCATCAAGCCACATTTAGCATGGAATTTTTTCGACTAGTGTGGGCAAGTGAAGGCAATATTCTCACCTAGTTTGGGCAAGTGCACGCAATATTCTCACCTAGTGTGGGTCGGAGTTCGTTCAACAATGGATGAACACACATGCAAGCCATTTACTTGAGAACTGCCTGTTAGATGGCAATGATTTTTTTGCATGCTGCCTTAGAATATCTATGACGTTCAGGAATTTTGTTGACTAAAAATAAATGCCAGATGTAGTTTTGTTTTCTTCTTTACGATTGTTGTTCTCACTGCAGGTTTCAATCCGTTGATGATGATGATGATGGGTGGAATGGATAGCTCCATGTTTCCTTTGTTGATGCTGATGAACAGTCAGAACCAACAGCAGCCACCACCAGACCCTGCGGCAGGAGGAGGCATGGGCGGTGGCGGCGCCTATTAAACCAGCCCATCCTCGCTTACAAACATCGAGACACACATACTCACACACATACACCTTCTCTCTTAAACACACACGATAATCTTCAAACAATGATACGACAGGCAGACTGGAATGACTGGAGGACAAGAGTTCAATTTCTCAACACCAGACTTCACCTGTGACATCTGCATGTGACATCACGTCTGGTCACCGACAAGCCTAACTCCAGCTGTTTATGCCTGGAGTACCACAGATTTGCATACGGGGGGTGTGCGTGTTTGATTGTGTGTGTGGCGGGAGGCATTCTTGTTCCTCGTCTGTTGAATCTCGAACTAGTTCAACATGGCATTGGCTGTCTTTACATGCAGGTCTTCATATTAAAGTCACGGTATTTGTCAACGATTGTATCTAAGTGGGTAAAATAGATGCATACATACCAGAAAGTGGACTGCATTCAGAATGAGTCAACAATCACTGAATGTATTTCTTTCTTTCATTGCTGTAATATGAAATGTATGACACATAAATATTACGCTCTTCTCAATGATATTTGAATATGTATTTGGATGAGGTGCGGTGCGTTTGATTTGCTTGTAAGTGTGTTTTATGTCAGTATTTAGTAACAAGTTTGCCTTCCCTGTCTGCTTCGGCCTCACAAAACATTAACTGTTCTGCATAAACTGTTCAAAAACGCCGACTCTCTCATGTTCCCTCTCCTACTCTCTTACTGTCTCTCTCTCTCTCTCTCTCTCTCTCTCTCTCTCTCTCTCTCTCTCTCTCTCTCTCTCTCTCTCTCTGTTTTTCTATTTCTCTCCTCTTCTCGCTCGCACACTTTCCTAGAAGATCTTGCTGCATCACTCTACAGTCCGACGACCATTCAGTTCTAATTGTTTGTTTACAGAAATGATATTACTTAGTATTGCTCATGGTATTAGATCAGTGGTTTTCAACCTTTATTATACGCAGCCCCCCCCCCCCTACCCCAACCCGAATGAATGGCAAGGACCCCACCCATCCCCCAAACTAATACAAATGTGATTTAAAAAAACAGGACAAAAATAAAAATCCGAAGCTCTGGTAACAACAATTTTGAGAAAAAACATCCATATAAAGCAAAATGTCAAATAACGTTACGTCCTTGCTTTGTGTGATTTAAATATAGTTTAAAAGTTGTTTTTATTTATAATTAAACTGAAAAAAGAGTTAATAACCACAAATACAATGTCACAATTGCTTGATGCTCCCTAAAACCCTCCTAGCGCCTTTACACACACCTTTGTTTTCATTCGGAAACCGCCCTTGGGATAAGAACCACTGCTGCCACCTGTCGAGCTTGACCCAGTGTAGAATAAATATATGTTGTTACCATCACTCATACTTATCACGAAGGTATGGGAAATCATTCAGAATAGAAGTTGTTTTGAAAGAGGCTATGGCATGCGTTATGAGTTATGAGTTAGATTATCTTCACAGCACTCCGGACACATCCATAGGCGCTCAGATTCCCCTCTCAACATTTTCATCAGCGTTGAGCGTTGGCCAACTTTGATATAGTCAATAAATGGAAACAGTCGACATGTCAACAACACTGCACAAAAACATTTAGCTTTATCGTAAACAATCGATGCATATCCCACAACCTCTTTCTCTGTCCTGGCTAGACACTCTCTCACCATTGTTCATACACTCTCTTCCGCAATTTATTTTGGCCCCCAACTTAAAATTTTTTACCAGAAATAATCTTAGAACCGGTGTAAAGTTGATCGCATCACTTATCGAATGCTGATTGATCATACAAATATAAGAGCGTGACGCGACTCTGGTGTCAAATGAGTGCTTGACTAAACTTGACTTGACGTGACGTGACTTGACTAGACTTGACCTGACGTGATTTGACTTGAGTATACTTGACTTGACGTGACTTGACTTGACTTGATGTGACTTGGCTTGACTTGACTTAACTCCTATAGTTGATCCGGCTAGTTTTCAACCTTTTTTTCCAGGTGGTGCCCCCCTCCCCCTTCCCTACCTTGAGTAGTATATATAATAACCCACTCCACGCCGCCCCCCCACTTTGAGTATATATAATAACCAGCTCCACGCCTCTCCCCTTGAGTATATATAATAACCCACTCCACGCCTCCCCCTTGAGTAGTATATATAATAACCAGCTCCACGCCTCCCCCTTGAGTAGTATATATAATAACCCACTCCACGCCTCCCCCCCCCCACTTTGAGTATATATAATAACCCACTCCACGCCTCTCCCCTTGAGTAGTATATATAATAACCCACTCCACGCCCCATCCCCCTTTGAGTATATATAATAATCCACCTCTAAAACATATCTTGGTGTTGTCCGCCTACACGAGTTACAATTAAGTAATTAAACGAATAAATGTCCGAAACGACGCAGAAACTGGTAATTGTCAGAAACGTCAGTAGCAGACGCCAGTTGCAGGAAACATACATGCATAATTTTAACCCACTTTCTAGGTCGAAAATGTAGACAAAAAAGTACCAAAAATGTCACCGCCTGTCATCAACGTGATATAATTCATGTGTAAATGTCACCATCTAAAGTCACGACATTGACATTAGTAATCACCACGTGACGTGTGCAACATCAAGTAAGTGTTGCCATAAATCTAGTCACCTGTCTAGAACATTTTCAACACTTCCTGGTGAGACAGGTCACGAAGTTCCATAAATATTTTCAAGAGAGGCGACGATGTAAGACAAGCTGTGCGAAAATAAATCTTGGGAATGTTTACCAAGACATGGAGTAACGTGGACTTGTCATTTGACGGGAACTTCGTCACGTCTGCCAGAAACACAGTTTAGACTGCATAGTTTGGGAGCTGCAGAAGTAGCAGTAGTGTAGTTGTTGTGTCAGGATTGGCACAGATTGCATAGTTTAGGGGCTGCAGATAGCAGTACATGTAGTTGTTGTGTCAGGAGGGTATGTAGCCAAAGAAGAGTGGACATGATCATAGTGCCAGTTGCAACCTAATGAAAAGTCCGTCTATGTCATCCAGCCAGTGTTGAATATCTCCCAGAGCCTTTGTTTCCCGCTCGCTGAATTAGCCAGTCACTGTATGGATACTTGATCTGTTCTATTGCACTGTCTCACTTCATCCCAGAAACGTTCACCACTTTTATCATATCGTAGCTCCAAGCAGCAGCCTATCTATCATCTGCTCATTACCCTTCACACGCGAATATCCTGGACAGAAAATCCTTGACTTGCTCGTGGTCAAAGCCATAAGATATGTAAAGTAAGCTGACTCGTTTGTAGTTTTGTTTATTGCTTTACTACTGGCTGTCCTGGGAAAATAAAGACAGCCGGCGTAATGCTGACCACATTACCCACAGAGTGTTGATGGTCTGTAAAAATATGGGACGCTCTGCCCATATGCCTGATGCGCCGAAAGGCGTGAAAAGGGATCTTTACTTTACTTACTTACTGTTTAAGTGCCTTAAATGTTTATATATACATATATATATATATATATATATAAATCTGACTTCATATGGTCTATAAATCTCTCTATTTGATTTGTAGTCTTTTCCTTCTCTCTCTAGTATTTCCTTTTATAATTTACTTAATTCGCTTCTGCTGGCGTCAGAGTTTCCTGGTGATTGTAGTCAGTTGTTTAGTGTTTCCTGGTGATGGTAGTCAGTGATTTAGTGTTTCCTGGTGATTGTAGTCAGTGATTTAGTGTTTCCTGGTGATTGTAGTCAGTTATTTAGTAACAACAGCAACCCTCCCTATCTCATGGCCTCTTGTCTCCCCCCTGCTGACGTCATCTCCACTTCCTGCGCTTCATTACCCACATAATCCATGCGTGTCCACGCAGACGTCTGTGGGCAAGTTTCATTTACCGAACAAATGTTTCATGGTAAATTTAGAATCAACATCACAGCACTCGAGACATTATCACAAACTATCCATCTCCATCTTTAGCAGCAAGCAAAGAGTTTCAGTTCCGATAACAGCAGTAACCCAACTGTACATTCTTCTCGCCTAACTCTTGAATGTTGAGCGTCGGCCAGATCCCCCGGTACGTTTTCGCAGCGCCATTCTCCCCAGACCGTAAGGATCTATTTGTGCCTCCGATATGTTTACTCACTTCTAAACGACTCTTACAACACCTAGCTTGTCAAGCAACAGTTCCCGACTAAGTTATGTAGAACCAGCCAGTCTATCTGCCTCTTTATTTGCCAGCACACCGACATAACGTGGAGATAATATCCGAAGGACGCTAACTACCAGGAAGCTCCAAGGCAACGCTTGTCACTCTGCACAATGCATACATGTCTCCACTGTTCCCATCAAGCTCATCAACAAATCAGTTACACATAAGAAATGTGTGTACAGCTCGTAGTTACAGATAATAAGGTGAAGAAAAAAAAAACACCTGACAGAGATAGGTAAACGAATTTATTTGCTGTGATCAAGATGACAAACAGATACAAACTCATTCGGCTAATAACTAACAACAGTATAATATAAGATGAACTCTCTCGTAGATGAACATATGTTAACACATAATTTATGTAAAGATCGTAAAACAGTATAATCACGAAAATATATCAACAAGATATGAGACAAGTTAGAAGGAATTCGACAACTGGGACACTCATTAGGTCGAGAATGAATGAAATACACGGCTTGATTCTAATGCGATGCATTTGTACTCTCCTGTTGACCACTTAAAAACATTTAAAATGGCACTAACTACTAGATACAAAGTATTTGAATTCAGCGGTCACTGTTGATTGCGTCCTGTCGTAGCCAACATCGAGTACTTTGTGGCCTTCTTGCAGGCCCTTGGTGGGTTCTTTCTGGTCAGTTGAACAGATCTTGAGGTCATCGTGTTAGAAACTGGAATTCGAGGGCGTGCTTGATCCTGCACGTGCGATACACCTGGCAAGAGAAGATGACACAGGTTCAGCTACTGGCCTGTAAAGACACGATTTATATAAACAAATCAATAATTCACGTAAGAGAGATGTCCACAGGGTCGGCAGCTCTGATAAACCAGATTTCAAACAGAAGTTTCAGCCCCTCACATTCTGCATGTCTTCAATACAATACCAAGTGGTTAGTGAGCATGTCTGTCGGCCTATGGATAATAAGTTTTAATCCAAGTTAACTTTGTTGAACTGAAAAGGATACTGAGGTCCACAGAGCCTTTAATGGTGACCAGGAAACCCTTCAAGAAGTAACAACAGCCTGCGTGATACTGGCCTCATATCCAGCGAGTGCCGTTTGGCCAAAACAACTAGTGTGTGACACCATGTCCAATTGGTCTCATCGCTTTGACATGGGTCTATAACTGACAGTGTGCAGGGAAACACGGGCTGACTGAAGAGATGGAACATGTACTGACTGAAGGGATGGAACATGGACTGACTGATGAGATGGAACATGGACTGACTGAAGAGATGGAACATGGACTGACTGAAGAGATGGAACATGGACTAACTGAAGTGATGGAACATGGACTGACTGAAGAGATGGAACATGGACTGACTGAAGTGATGGAACATGGACTGACTGAAGAGATGGAACATGTACTGACTGAAGAGATGGAACATGTACTGACCGAAGAGATGGAACATGTACTGACTGAAGAGATGGAACATGTACTGACTGAAGAGATGGAACATGTACTGTCTAAGGATAAGGAACATGGACTTACTGAAGAGATTGAACATGTACTGACTGAAGTGATAGAACATGGACTGATTGAAGAGATGGAACATGTACTGACTGAAGAGATAGAACATGGACTGACTGAAGTGATGGAACATGTACTGACTGAAGTGATAGAACATGGACTGACTCAAGAGATGGAACATGTGCTGACTGAAGAGATGGAACATGGACTGACTGAAGTGATAGAACATGTGCTGACTGAAGTGATAGAACATGTACTGACTGAAGAGATGGAACATGGACTGACTGAAGTGATAGAACATGTACTGACTGAAGTGATAGTACATGTACGGACTGAAGAGACGGAACACGTACTGACTGAAGTGGTGGAACATGGGCTGACTGAATATGCGGAACATGTACTGACAGAATATACGGAACATGAACTGATTGAAGAAATAGAACATATAGTGACTGAAGTGATGGAGCGAGTACTGACTGAAGTGATGGGACATGTACTGACTGAAGAGATGGAATATGTGCTGACTGAAGAGATAGAACATTTACTGACTGAAGTGAAGGAACATGTACGGACTTAAGAGATTGGACATGTACTGACTAAAGAGATGGAACATGGGCTTACTGAAGACACGGAACATGCACTGACTGAATATAAGGAACACGTACTGACCGAAGTGGTGGAACATGTACTGACAGAATATACAGAACATGTACTGACTGAAGTGATAAAACATGTACTGACAGAATATACGGAACATGTACTGACAGAATATACGGAACATGTACTGCCTGAAGTGATGGAACATATACTGACTGAATATACGAAACATGTACTGACTGAATTGGGGGAACATGGGCTGACTGAATTTACGGAACATGTACTGACTGAAGAGATGGAACATGTACTGACTGAATATAGGGAACATGTACTGACTGAATTGGTGGAACATGGGCTGACTGAATATACGGAACATGTACTGACTGAAGAGATGGAACACGTACTGACTGAAGTGATGGGACATGTACTGACTGAAGAGATGGAATATGTACTGACTGAAGAGATAGAACATTTACTGACTGAAGTGAAGGAACATGTACGGACTTGAGAGATTGGAAATGTACTGAATAAAGAGATGGTATATGGGCACACAGATTCTCACTTTGACAACTTTGAGCTTTATGGTGTGTTAACAGGGCGTGCTGGTTCATCGGCTTTAGACTCCGACACTAGGCTCTGGTTGTTCTCCCACTCCTGGACTTTGGTACTGATCCAGTTTTTTTTTTAGTTTTGCGTGCATAATTTGTTTCACAGATCTTGCTTATTAGTAAGCAGACTGTTGGTTCTTTGCCTGTCAGTAGATAAGCTCCGACTGTCAAGGAAACAACCCTAATCAGTCGCCTCCTACGTCATGTTTGTTAGTAGGCAGTGGGTCTTTTCTCTGTTCTCTAAAATAGAGACCCAGAATCCAGACAGGAAAAACTGACAAGCGAGACTTAGAGACATACCACAAATGTTTTTCATACTGAACAGGTCATGAGGTAGACGATGACCCAGGCATCTGCTCCATATCTCTGGTAGGACTTCCCCGAAACGGGACTGGAGTTGGCCGGTCAGATGCCTGATGACAGCCAGGTCCAACCACACGAAGCAGGCCACCATGGCAAGAAGCACCAGATAGATGTTCGACTGGATCAACTGCCGCAAGATTGCGATTTCTGGCAGTCGCAGCAGTGCAAGTATTCGAAACGTTAGTCGTACCTCAATGATGAAGAAAGGTGGGGGAAGAGGGGTGGGGGCATTAGATGGTCTGCAGTATATGTATTTCTGTATGATAATCTTTATAAAGGATCTCGTATCGACGCAGTGGGTATTGGATTGAATCTCTTCTGTGTGAAAACATCTAAAGCCCACTGGGGACATACTGCCCAACCAGGCCGAGTCGCAGCCAGTCTCAGCTATGGTCAACCTTGACCTGACTACATCCAGGAACGTCTCTCCCCAGATGTGCTATCCCAGCACTAGCCAGTCTCAGCTATGGTCAACATTGACCTGACTACATCCAAGTACGTCTCTCCCCAGGTGTGCTAACCCAGCACTAGCCAGTCTCAGCTATAGTCAACATTGACCTGACTACATCCAGTAACGTCTCTCCCCAGGTGTGCCATCCCAGCACTAGCCAGTCTCAGCTATGGTCAACATTGACCTGACTACATCCAAGTACGTCTCTCCCCAGGTGTGCTATCCCAGCACTAGCCAGTCTCAGCTATGGTCAACATTGACCTGACTACATCCAAGTACGTCTCTCCCCAGGTGTGCCATCCCAGCACTAGCCAGTCTCAGCTATAGTCAACACTGACCCGACTACATCCAAGTACGTCTCTCCCCAGGTGTGCTATCCCAGCACTAGCCAGTCTCAGCTATGGTCAACATTGACCCGACTACATCCAAGTACGTCTCTCCCCAGGTGTGCTATCCCAGCACTAGCCAGTCTCAGCTATGGTCAACATTGACCTGACTACATCCAAGTACGTCTCTCCCCAGGTGTGCTATCCCAGCACTAGCCAGTCTCAGCTATAGTCAACACTGACCTGACTACATCCAAGTACGTCTCTCCCCAGGTGTGCTATCCCAGCACTAGCCAGTCTCAGCTATGGTCAACACTGACCTGACTACATCCAAGTACGTCTCTCCCCAGGTGTGCTATCCCAGCACTAGCCAGTCTCAGCTATAGTCAACACTGACCTGACTACATCCAAGTACGTCTCTCCCCAGGTGTGCTATCCCAGCACTAGCCAGTCTCAGCTATAGACAACCTTGACCTGACTACATCCAAGTACGTCTCTCCCCAGGTGTGCTATCCCAGCACTAGCCAGTCTCAGCTATAGACAACCTTGACCTGTCTACATCCAAGTTTGTCTCTCCCCAGGTGTGCTATCCCAGTGCCAATCCTGGGCGTGTCGCCGGTTGAGATAGTTTACCTGGACGTGGTCTTCTCTGTAGTACCTGGCTCTCTCTATAAAATTCACAAGCACTACACAACAGTTGCATCACTGGTATAAATATGCATGGACAAACAGCCAGCCAGCCAGATAGATAGATAGATAGATAGATAGATAGATAGATAGATAGATAGATAGATAGATAGATAGATAGATAGATAGATAGATAGATAGATAGATAGATAGATAGATAGATAGATAGATAGATAGATAGATAGATAGAACAAGCTTAATTTTCAAAGTGTTAAGAATTGGGCACGCAGGCCTATCTAACATTCTACCCTTCCACTCCGCTCCTTGCATACTGTTATTCATTTGTACTTCATGCCATATTCGCATATTTTTTTCCTTCGCCACCGGTACTGCTCCCAAATCAACACAAGGCTGATCCTCTTGGAAACAGCTCAGGTGTCCTGGGGCAATCTTCTGGGCGGACAGGTTTAGACTCTTTTTTCTTGTTTGTCTCTACTCCTGGAATGCCTAGCAGCTTCAGGACACGAAGAGATCTCTGCAAGTAGCCCTTCTGTTCGATTCTAATAAAGTACTTTTTAAGTATCTTCGATATTACTGCTGTCCACCTGTGTGGTTGACCTCTGCCTCTGTAACGGCTGCATCTGTATTCACTAATTACAAATGCGCAAAGGGCAAGATGTGGCCATCTTTTTTTAAGCATACTTTAACACAACCACACGCCACCTAATGATTGGTCTCATACATAATTTAATTAAATGTAATTGAAGCCTCTGTCCTCCCCCACACCCCTCCCCACCCCCTCTTTGTCCCCAAGGCTCAAGAGAGAACTTACTTGTTTTAAGGACAACCAGAGTGCCAATATGTGAGTTAGAACAGTGATGAGAACGGTCCCCGGTTTGTGCAAGACAGAGACCAGATCGTTCCTCCATGTATGTAGTTTTTCCACGGCTGTTGCTCCGACCCGGCGGGAGAGCTGGCCAATCACCTGAGTCTTCATGATGCAGTGACTTTAGTCAGTGGCTGGGGCTGGGAGCAGTAAAGTTAGAGCTTAACACAGGGGCAGGTCATGGAAAGGGGTTACAGACAGACGGGAGACATATAGGAGCAAACCATGGGAAGGGGTTACAGACAGACGGGAGACATAAAGGGGCAGGCCATGGAAAGGGGTTACAGATAGACGGGAGACATATAGGAGCAAACCATGGGAAGGGGGTACAGACAGACGGGAGACAAACAGGACAGACCATGGGAAGGAGATACAGCCAGACAGGAGACATATAGGAGCAGACCATGGGAGGGAGATACAGCCAGACGGGAGACATATAGGAGCAGACCATGGGAGGGAGATACAGCCAGACGGGAGACATATAGGAGCAGACCATAGGAAGGGAGATACAGACAGACGGGAGATATATAGGAGCAGACCATAGGAAGGGGGTACAGACAGACGGGAGACAAACAGGACAGACCATGGGAAGGAGATACAGCCAGACGGGAGACATATAGGGGCAGGCCATGTGAGGGAGATACAGACAGACGGGAGACATACAGAACAGACCACAGGAAGGAGATACAGACAGACGGGAGATATATAGGAGCAGACCATGGGAAGGAGATACGGACAGACGGGAGACATACAGAACGAACCATAGGAAGGAGATACAGACAGACGGGAGACATATAAGAGCAAAACAAGGGAAGGAGATACAGACAGACTGGAGACGTACAGGGCAGACCATGGGAAGGAGATACAGATGGCAGAAACACGACATACAGAATAGGAGTAATGAATAGGTAA